AACCCCCCCCCTGATGCCCCAGGTCCCTCAAACCCATCCCTGATGTCCCCAAAGCCACCCCTGATGTTCCCAACCTCCTCAAAGCCACCCCTGATGTCCCCAGGTCCCTCAAGCTCATCCCTGATGTCCTCAAATCCACCCCCCCGATGTCCCCAGGTCCCCCAAATCCACACGTGTACGTCCCCAAAGCCACCCCTGATGTCTCCAGGTCCCTCAAACCCATCCCTGATGTCCCCAAAGCCACCCCTGATGTCCCCAGGTCCCCCAAATCCACACGTGTACGTCCCCAAAGCCACCCCTGATGTCTCCAGGTCCCTCAAACCCATCCCTGATGTCCCCAAAGCCACCCCTGATGTCCCCAGGTCCCCCAAATCCACACGTGTACGTCCCCAAAGCCACCCCTGATGTCTCCAGGTCCCCCAAAGCCACCCCTGATGTCCCCAAAGCCACCCTTGATGTTCTCAACCTCCTCGAACCCACCCCTGATGTCCCCAGGTCCTTCAAAGCCACCCTGAACCCACCCCTGATGTCCCAGGTCCCTCAAACCCATCCCTGATGTCCCCAAAGCCACCCCTGATGTTCCCAACCTCCTCAAAGCCACCCCTGATGTCCCCAGGTCCCTCAAGCTCATCCCTGATGTCCTCAAATCCACCCCACCGACGTCCCCAGGTGTACACGTGTACGTCCCCAAAGCCACCCCTGATGTCTCCAGGTCCCTCAAACCCATCCCTGATGTCCCCAAACCCACCCCTGATGTCCCCAGGTCCCTCCAACTCAGACCATGACACCTCCAAGCCCCCCCAAACCTCGCCTCCGACCTCCCCCAGTATCCCCAGTGTCCCCCAGGAGCTCACCGCCATCCTCCACAATGGTGGCCTGGGCAGCCTGACCATAGAGGTCCACCACGGCGTAGACGTTGGGTGGCACGTTCCAGGCGGCGGGGCCCTGCGCCGCCCCGTTGACGAAGAAGTGGAGGGTCCCGTCGTCCCGTCGCACCCCCCCCACCGTGTCCCCCGCCTGCGGGGGGTGGGGGGACACGTCACCCGAGGGGGACACCGACACGGTGGTGAGGTGTCTCCTCCTCCCTCCATCTCCTCCTTCTCCTCCACCCTGGGGTTGTCCCACCTTGAGGCGGTCGAGGTTGTGGCCGTACTCATCCAGGACGGTGGTTCCGTTGTGCATCACCCCGTTGCCCGTCATCATCCAGGTGCCTGAGGGGACGGGGATGGGGTTGGGGACATCCCGGAGACATCTGGGAGGGGTTTGAGGTGGCCACGGGACACCCAGAAGTGGTTGGAGACATCCTGGAGACATCTGGGAGGGGTTTGAGGTGGCCACGGGACACGCATGGGTGGTTGGAGACACCCTGGGGACATCCTGGAGGGGCTGGGAAGTGGTTAGAGACATCCTGGAGACATCTGGGAGGGGTTTGAGGTGGCCACAGGACACCCAGGGCTGGTTGGGGACATCTGGGAGGGGTTGGAGGTGGCCACGGGACACCCAGGGGTGTTTGGGGACATCTGGGAGGGGTTTGAGGGGGGCACGAGTGGTTAGAGACATCCTGGAGACATCTGGGAGGGGTTTGAGGTGGCCACGGGACACGCATGGGTGGTTGGAGACACCCTGGGGACATCCTGGAGCGGCTCGAGATGGGCCAGGGACACCGTGGGGTGGCTGGGAACAGCCCATGGAGACACTGGTGACCCCATGGTGGCGTTAGGGACCCTGTAGAGATGTTGGGGTCCCCCATGGAGATGTTGGAGACCCTCTGGGAAGCCCATGGAGATGTTGGTGTCCCCATGGGAAGATCATGGAGATGATAAGGATCCTGTGGTGAAGTTGGGGACCCCACAGAGATGTTGGAAACCCCCTGGGAAGCCCATGGAGATGCTGGGGACCCACCTAAGCGCAGGTTGGTCATGGTAGAGGGCAGGTGGAGGTAGATGGGGTTGCAGGAGGTGACCCTATGGGGATGTTGGGGACCCAATAGAGATGTTGGAGACCCCCTGGGAAGCCCTTGGAGATGTTGAGGACCCCATGGAGATGCTGGTGTCCCATAGGAAGCCCATGGAGATGCTGGGGACCCCCTGGGAAACCCATAGAGATGCTGGTGTCCCATGGGAAACTCATGGAGATGTTGGGCACCCCATGGGAAGCCCATGGAGATGTTGGTGGACCCCTGGGAAGTCCACGGAGATACTGGTGTCCCCACGGGAAGCCCATGGAGATGTTGGGGACCCACCTGAGCGCAGGTTGGTCATAGTGGAGGGCAGCTGGAGGTAGGCGGGGTTGTGGGTGGTCACGCCGATCTCAATGGACCCCGCCCACTTGTCCACCATCTTGTCGATGCGGACCTGGAAGAGCTCGTTGTCCCGCAGCGCCCGGGCGCTCAGCACCACCCCGTGGTTGAAGTCATCCGTGGCGCTGGGCAGGGGACACGGGGACACTGCGTCACTGGGAGGGGTGGACACCAGGGGTGGGGTCGTCATGTCCATGAGGACACCAGGGATGGGGATGCAAGGACACCACGTCAACGGGGCCACCAGGGATGAGTCCATCATGTCCATGAGAACATCAGGGATGGGGCCACCATGTCAACGGGGCCACCAGGGATGGGGCCACCACATCAACAAGGAAACCAAGGATGAGGCCACCACATCAACAAGGAAACCAAGGATGGGTCCATCACGTCAAGGACGACACCAGGAACGGGGCCACCAGGGATGGGGCCACCAGGACACCACGTCAACAGGGACACCAGGGATGAGTCCATCATGTCCATGAGGACACCAATGATGGAACACAAGGACACCACATCAGTGGGGACATCAGAGATGGGTCCATGATGTCAACGAGGCCACCAAGGATGAGGACACCAGGACACCACGTCAGCAGGGCCACCATGTCCACGGGGCCACCAGGTCAACAGGGCCACTAAGGATGGGGCCATCACATCCACGGGGCCACCAGGTCAACAGGGCCACCAGGGATGGGGCCATCACGTCAATGGGGCCACCAGGTCCATGAGAACGCCAGAGATGGGGCCATCACGTCCACGAGGCCACCAGGGATGGGGCCACCATGTCCATGAGAACGCCAGAGATGAGGACACCAGGGATGGGGCCACCACGTCAACGGGGCCACCAGAGATGGGGCCACCATGTCCATGAGAACGCCAGAGATGGGGCCACCAGGGATGAGGCTACCACGTCAACGGGGCCATCAGGGATGGGGCCACCAAAGACGGACCCCGCCCCACCTGAGCAGACCCTCTCCCTCACCGTGACCACGAGGACCCACCTCCACCTCCCTGTGTCCCACCCCACGTCCCC